TTTTTAATTACGTTGCTATTTGCATATCTTCTAAAATGCAATATATTTTGTCAATATAAATTCACGTTTATTTAAATGGATTGTCTCCTATACATAAATTTCTTTACATACGAAATCTTCAAAAAAAAAAAAAATCCAATCCAAGATATAATATTGGCATAAAAAACGATTAAAAAAGAAATTAAATTGTATGAAAAAAAATAGTGATTTCCTTTAGAAAATATTAATTAAATATTTCATAGAAGATGTAGAAGTAGAATAATTGAAATAATCCATCTTTTTCAATTTTTTATGTAATATAAGGAAAGAAAAAAAAAGAAATTTTTTTCGTTATTTTCCATTATTTCTTTAATTCTTTTTTTTTATATAATCATATAAAAAAAGATATGAAAATTTAGCATATATTTTAAATTATATTACAAATAATTTTACAATTACAGGTACGCCGTGTACATTCCCCTATTTCTGCCAGCTATGATACCAGTGTTATTATCGCTCAAGAATATACGAAAGTATTATTTTCCTGAAAAGTATGATACAAAAAAAACAGTAGACCAGATAAAAAGTAGAAATGATAAGGATAATGAACTGGATATTGAATAAAAGTCATTTCTCCAACCAATAATAGAAGACATATAATCATGTGATTGCTCATTCAAAACCATTTTGATCAAAAGATAATATATAGCAATAATAGACATATAATAGACATATTTTGTGCAGCGTCTTAACTTCTTCGCAATGTAACAAAAATGAGATTTTGCTATCACTGTGTGAAAAAAAAGTTTCTTAGATTTTAGTGCGATTTTAATATTAAAATTTTTGAAGTCACTGAATCCGAATATGATATCAGAATTTCAAAATTCAAACTGGCGGATTTAATATTATTAGATTTAATATCACTTAATATGATTTAGATCAAAATTTATTGAAAACATAATTGGATTCTTATAAAACTGGAGTCCAAGAATATAAAGCGAACTGAAGTTGAAAAAAATTAAAAAATTTTTTAAATAAAAAAATAAAAACATACAATCAAAACTCGTCCTCGTTTCGTGACTCTGGGCTCAGCAGAGAACAGAATTTATAAACGATTGTTCTTTATTAATATATATTTTATATTAATATAATATTGTTGTTGAAGTTAAAGTTTAAATGAGTTATTATTTTTAAGTAATTTTTTTCAGCAAAATTTGAGCTGTCATTTAGAATAACAAAATTCTAATATATTTTGATTCAATGACTACAACAATTTTGGACTTGTTTTTATAACTATTTTTTCAAATTTTGATCCGCTATATTGAGTTTTGAAATTCAGACATATAGAATTCAATGACCTAAAAATCTTAGGATAATCATTTTTATAAAAATCCAATTATTTTTAAAAATTCTGATCCGCCATATTGGATACGCTATTCTAAATATTAAAATTTGGATATTCAGTGCTCTCAAAAAATATAGGATACCATTTCATATAAATTGAAAAAAAGTAAATCGGTTTCTTTAGACATGCATATAGATATATATATATATATATATGTAGAAACATACTACACAGGTAACATGTCTTTCTCTTATCTGAT